TATAAAATAAAAATTCTGTAGTATTAAGGTGGTGCTTCATAATAATTAATTTCTAATAAACAACAACAAAGACTAACATCCATCAACTGAAGATCTGAGGACCAACAAATATATATATTTGTTGGTCCTCAGGACCTTGTGCTTGCCAGGCAAGCACTTATTCTACTGAGCTATCTCCCCGGCCCAGGACAAACAAATGTGCTTGCCAGGCAAATGTTAGGTCTCCAAGAACTAGGTATACTTGCTGACACCAGGGAACGTCAATTTATAACTGGGAAAGAATACCATTTCTTTTTCTTTCTTACATGAACTCAGTTGACAAAATAATGCTCTACTGAAAAGCGAAAAGGAAGCTGGGAAGAGGAAGGGGAAAAACAAAGGAATGGCCAACTTCTTCCAGGGAAGTTGCAGCCCTTCACTTGAGCTTCACTTTTCCTCTAAGTAATTACTTCCCACAACCAGGGTTTCTTCTCAAGGGAAACAGCCTTGAGACTGGAGCTCAGGAAGGCTCCTGGCTGTGTCACGGAGCGCCGACTCACTCAGCCCCGTGTGCACTGCGAGTGTACCCAGGTCAGGTGAACAGTTACCTAGGTACGTGCTCTGAGGTGTAGGGCACCAGGACCACCTTCTTCCCCAGCAACACAGTGTTCTGATTCAACCTCATGGCAGCAGCCTGCAGGCAGGGGTCGGCAAAGACTGCAGGACGCCGAGTTTCTTCTCATTTAGGGTGGGAGCTCCGGTTCTCTCGCTAGGACGGAGCTAAATTGACAGAAGAGCCTCTCGACCTTGTTTCCTTCTAAATACTTCAGAGAAAGCGGACTCAAAACTCTTGCAAGAAAGAAAGCTGAGCTGAGTGAGAATAATTCAGCAATCCTTGGCTCGCATGGCAGAGGGGCCAAGCCTGGGCTGCCGTTCCTTCCGCCCCTTCGGAATATACCTAAATACCCTTTAGAATTTCGGTTCATCAAACCCGAGCACTACATGCCGAATTTTATCCTCAGCGCTCCTACCGCTTGCCCCAGTACCCGGACTTCGCCCAAGAATCATGCCTTAAACCTACTTCTAACCCCTTCACTGAAGCGTCCGCGCTACCCAGGTCTAACCCCTCTTCCCCTCGCCTCCCATCCCACTCTAAATCCCCAGGCCCCTCCTCTTTGGGTGGCGCCACAGCTCCTCTGCTCGACCCTCCAACCACCCAGGTCCCGGAACCACCGAGCTCACACCCATCCCCGGCCGACGTGTGAATACCCGGGCTAACAGGTGACCCGCCTCTCCAGCCGGCCAAGCTTCCCCCTAGGCCGGCAGCGGTGGACTTGCGCATGCACGCACCTTCTCACTTCCGCCACGCGGACGGCACCCCGTAGGCCCAATCCCGGCCCCGCCTCCGTCAGCGAGCCAATCACCGTGCCGCGCCCCGCCCAAGGAGCGCGCGCCGGGAAGGGCTCGCGAGCCTGCGCGTGCGCCCTGGAGGCGCTGGTGCAAGACAGCTGGCGCCGGCAGTAGCAGAGGCTTCAGGCAGCGGCCCGGCGACCCCGGAGCTATCTGTGCTGCAGGTGCCGTACAGGGCCGGGTGGAACGGTGGGATGGGACGGAGTTGGGTGGCAGACTAGGAGCTGTCCCAGGGGGGAGGACGAAGGAGAGGCTCCCATAGAGGCTTTTGAGAAGAGAGGCAGATTTGAGAGTGAGAAATCCAAAAGCAGGACAGAAGGCAGATGGGGGCCGGGGAGTAGAGGCCCTGTTAGAAAGAAGCTTTGGGACTAGGAGCTGGGGTGCAGAACGACCCAGGAAGTCCCAGATCCCTGCCAAGAGCGGCGAGGAGCAGTTCCCCGCGCTTCCCTGTGTGGTGGTGAGCTCACAGTTTTTGGAATTAAGTGGGCATAAGTACCTCAGAATGTGTAAAGGGGCTGTAGCCGCGGGTGAGATGTGGTGGCTTCCGAAGCCCCCTTTAAAGTCACTTACGATCGGAACAGCATCCATGCCCAGAGCAGTGCTGCGAACAGATAGGGCCAGTTACATGAAACTGCCCGGTTTCCATCATCCTAGGAGACCCTTCCCTCTAGGCTGAGTCTCTTAGAAGTCCCAAGTTTGTTATTAAAGTGAAAGAGGTGGGGAGGGGCTCTGCAAATCTCCCATTCCTGTCTTGGTCTACCAAAAAGTTGAAGTGTATTCTTTCGCCCTAGGGACCTGCAGCGACCGCCTCCCCTGCACAGAAGCACCCTCTGCTGTGACCACCCTTCCCTCGCTTTCTGGAGATGGCAGGTGAAATCACAGAGACTGGAGAACTCTATTCTCCCTATGTGAGTTTTCCTCTAGAATCTGGTTTGTTCAGCGCAGTGCTTTGGGCCTCAAGCGAAGCACACCACTTCCAGTGGACTCTGCTAGTGATTGTGTCGATTTAAGAAGACCCTGGTGAAGACAGGGTGGGGGCTACACTGCCTCTGTCATAGCTCTGAATACGGAATCAAGTTTACTTCCTTTTTTTGGTATTTTTTATTTATTTATTTTAGAGAAGGGTCTACAGGGTGTTCAGGGTCTAACTACTAGGTGGGACTCATAGTGAATCACCTGTTTACAGCCTCCCAAGAGCTGGGATTATGGGCACACGCCACCATGCCCAGTCTCAATTGCCCTCTCAGTGCATCCCGGGAGCAGGGCTGGCGCAGCAGGCCCAGGGATTGAACCCCTGGCCCCTGCGCCTGTTTGCAGGCACTTTAATCCGCTGAGCTATTTGGCTGGCCCCTACTTCCTTTTTAGATACTTATCAGAAAGTGTCAAACCCAACAAAATTAACTTGCTAACTCTTCACAGCCTGTGGTGCTGCCCTTTCCAGGAACGGTGCTTGACAGTTGTTGACTTTGGGCTTTAGTCGTCTCAGCAGTTTGAACCTGCTTTGGTTTCCAGCTGACTTTTAAGTTGCACAACTTTTACAGTCTTGGATGGCGAAAGAGGTCGAGACTTCAAATAGCAGTTAGTTGGCATCTAGAATTAAGACAATTAGAATGATTGATTTCTCTGTCTTGAGTCTCTGCTACCCTTCACTCTTCCCACACACAGTCAGTTTTTCTTCTTTGTGTAATATCCACTGGTCATGGTGTTACATCACAGAACTTCTTGCTTGGCTAAGTAGCTGGCAGGTAATCGCTTGAATAATCAGATGGATAACACTTGTTGCTTACCTAGTAGCCGAGGGAAAAGCAGCATTTCTGTACATAACCAGAGCCTAGAAATTGCCCACCTTGAGCTGCTGCCGTGCTTCCCGTACTCCTTTCTGCCCTGCGAACCTCTGCACTGTTTCTGCTAGCATTGCAGACACTAGCATTGTGGTGGGTCTTAAAAGAGCTTCCTTCATAACTTACCAGGGGACGTCTTTTGTGAACGCTGGAATGGAATGAATAGTGTCCCTTTTATTTGTGGAGCCGAGTAACGCTTGCCGGTCTCCTGTCAGCGGTGAAATGGCCATGTCTAAAGGTCCACAGTTCCTGCTTTTTCTTACAATGTCTATAAATGTAGAGATGAGGAAATGAGTCACTTCTGTAACTAGAGTTTTGGAAGGATTTGGGATGTCCCCATTTTTTTTTTTTTTTTAACATTTATTGTGTGTGTGTGTGTGTGTGTGTGTGTGTGGCCAGCTCAGCCCACCAGGGGGCGCGGCTGGCTGGCATGTGGTGCTGGGGGATTGAACCGCGGTCCCTATGCTTTGCCAAGCTTGTTCCAAGTAGGTGCTCCAGACCACTGAGCCATCTCTCCAGCCCTCCCCATTTCTTATTCGAGTAGTCATTTCAAGCATCAGCACATGCCCACAGGAGATTGGGAAGTTAGGCCTACAAGTGTCTTGTCTGTCTGTCTGTCCCTGTCCCCTCCGCCCCCACCCCCCAGCCCAGGCTTGCCTCAAACTTATGATCCTTCTGCCTCAGCCTCCTGAATGCTGGGATTACATATGCATGCCATCCTGCCCAGTTTGTTTCCCCACCCCACCCCCTGTACCAGGATTGAACTCAGGACCTTGTGCTGGTCAGGCAAGCACTTATACCACTAAGCTATCTCCCTGGCCCTTTGCTTTTTTTCTTTTGCATCCATTGCCTGTATGTTTTATTTCATTCAACATGTTTCTTTGAGAGCCAGCTTTGGACGCTTGCCATAAACCAATGCTGTCTCCTCTTCTCCTCCTGATAAAGACAGATACAGGAGAAAGATAAGCAGTGGCAGGACAAGGCAGTGATAACCAGGCCGAAGTGGGTAGGGTTTTCAGGAAAAAAAACATTTTCTCTTCACCATCCTGGGAGAATTAGCATAGATTCCGTATAGGACAAAAAGAAGGGTTTAGCACCCACTGATCCCAAATCAACTCAAGAACTGACTGCCAGGGCTGGGGAGATAGCTCAGTGGCATAAGCACAGCCTGGCAAATGCAAGGTCCTGAGTTCAATCTTCAGTACCGAAAAAACAAAAAACAAAACAAAACAACTGACTGCCCAAACTGCTCTGATATATCTGTAGGCCTTGGCTTGGTGTGGGCAGAACAAGCAACCCCAGTCTGCCCTGATCTGTCCCGGTCTGCCCCGGCTACCAAGGAGACCACGATACTGAGCCCATGATCATTTGCAAGCCCAAGCCTGTTTTTAGCTCTCTATCGCCCCATTTTTTCCAACTGACTTTACTTGGGAGTACTTTTCCAATTCAGAGGTGGATGTTTGGGTTAGCTTAACTTAATTCTGGTTGTTTCTTCGGTTTTTTTGTTTGTTTGAGATAGGATCTCACTATGTAGTTCAGGCCGATCACTATGTAGCCCGAGCTGGTCTTGAACTTATGACAGTCTTCCTGCCTCAGCCTCCCAATTGCTGAGATTACAGGTGAGCGCCACCAGGTTCTTGCCAAAGATCTTTGCACTTGCTTTTGAAGGAGGTGACCCTGGTTTCAGTCTTAAATCCGAGGCAGTTCTTGCATATCATTGCTGCCTGTTTCCTTTGACAGTCATCAAAGGGGAAGCCATTGAAAGGCATTGGTGACCCCTGCCCCCTGCAAGTCATGGGTAATGCTGTTGGGTGGGAGGTGAGGTGGATGCCGTGCTGTGTGCTGAGGTCTGGAGCTCACAGGCCATTGTGAGCAGTCATGGGAGTGGGCTTGTGCCTCCTCCAGGTCAGCCACTGGGAAGGGAACTAGAGGAAACTTGGTTTTACCTGTACATGTGGGCCTTGTCTTTGGAGACCAGCAGGATCTTATTCCTCTGCTTTGTGACCTCCTTCCCAGGAGGCTGGCCCTACAGCATTGTCACGTGGCCAGCAAGAGATTGGACCCTTCCTCTTCCTCCTGCCCCACAACTCCTCCCAACTTAGCCTGTGGTTCAGCTCAGAGTTGCTTCTGCCCTCCAGTCGTCTGCTCCTTGTGATTGGTCCTTGCTGACCACCTTTATAGAAGGTAAAAAGAACCAATGTTTGCTAGGAGTGCTGAGGCCTTCCGAAGGCTTGGAAGTCCTGCTTTGTCTTTCAGGATTCCTGAGACCCTGCTAGGAGCACAGAACTTGCTCTGGAACTAAAATATAGTAACTGTCTTCATTCCTCTCCTCATTGCTAGGACAAAATGCTGAGTACCTACAACTCAGATGAGGAAAGGTTTGCTTTGCTTCTCAGTTGATAGAGGTTTCAGTCCACAGCCAGGTAGCTTCAAGGCAGAAGGAATTGTTGGTGTCCTGGAAGGCAGGACATTAGCTACAGATGCGTCAGTGGATTCATGTGCTGCCTGTCACAGCTCACAATCCAACGACTTCCCCAGAGCCCCACCTATGAGGCTGTCGGGAGTAGCTAGATATGAACCACAGCAGTAACAGTAAGACACACATGACTCCCCATTTCTGTCCTTACCTGCCTGATTCACTCCTGTATTAAGTTGTTAAAGCTTCTGTTTTCCCTGACAGTTACTCAAAGTCTCTGTGGGCACATGTTGTTGCATCTCTGTCTTCAGCAGCAGTTTCTCACAAAAGAGAACCAGGCTACAGAAAGTGCACAGGTCAGGTGGACAGCTCAGGTCTGTTCTTTTAGGGCCCTTCTCAAAACCCTCCAAAACATCAAACTCCTTTCCCTCACAAAAGTGCTGCACAACTCATATGTGGTGGTACACAGCTGTAATTGCAGCACTCAGAAGACTGAGACAGGAGGATCGCAAGTTTGAGGCCATCCTGGACTACATAGTGAGTTCAAGGGCAGCCTGAACTGCGTAGCGAGACCCTGTCTCAGGGGGAAAAAAAAAAAAGCTGCATCATCTGCTGCATCATCTGCCTCTAGCCTCCTCCAGCCCCCTAGCTTGCTATACCTTAGCCACCCTCGCCTCCTAAAACTTCCTCGATATCTGCACCTCATTTCCAACATAGGCCTTTGTACCTGGAAGGCTCTTCCTGACCCCTTTCCTAGGAATCCAGCTTGAATGTCATCACAAGGCCTTCTCTATCATTTTTTTCCTTGTCTTTCTCCTGTCAGTGCAGCTTCATGAGGTCAAGGGTCACGGCCATCTTGTTTAGTTGTACCTGGCTCAGAGCACATGGCCTGGCCCACAGGAGCCTTCTGGGTGTCTGAATATACGAATGCGTGAGCAGCGCTGAGCTAGCTCGATGTTCTTTGGACATGCTATGCCGGCCATTAAACCAGGCCTAGTGGCACATGCCTGTAATCCCTGTGCTGGGGAGGCTGAGACAGGAGGATCACTATGATTATGAGCTGTATAGTGAGACCCTGTACCAAATAAATTAAAGATTTTTTAAACAATTTTAAAAAAGAAAGAAAATTCACCCATTTCTCCAGCACTCAGCCTTCCAGTTAACACCTGCTGGGAGGACCAGCCCTGTCTCACAGCTGTCCAGCCCCTTCCACCCTCTGCTCAGCCACGGACCCCATGGTGGTATTTGACGATTCCTATCTTCTTTACACTTAAAAAAGAAATCTGACAGCCTGAGATGGTCTTGATTTGTCTATTTGTGATCAATTTCCAAAGGTAGCTATCTTAGAAAAATTTAAAAATAGATCTAGGAAGGTGTATATTTTTAAGAAGAAGTAAAAATGAGAGTTGGGTAGGGTTCCTAGAGATGAGTTGTTTGTCTGGTTTTGTTTTTGTTTTTTGAGACAGGGCTTGCAGTGTAGCCAAAACTGGTCATGAAGTCAAGGCCCTCCCCCTGCCTCAGCTTCCCAAGTGCTACAGTTACAGGGACTAGAAAATAAAGGCAGAAGAAATAGCTGGGCTCCTTTCTGAGCTTGGCATAGGGAAGAAGACATAAGGCATGTTCTAAAGGAAAGTGTGTAGGCCAAAGGGAAGAGCTAGTGGGAAGAGAGGATGAGGGGAGATGAGCTCAGAGCTCCGGGGCCACCTCCACCTCAGCAAGGACAGCAATGTGTGCTCCCTGAAGGTGGGCAGGGCAGGGGTAGGCACTGTGTGCTCTTTTGAGCTAGGAAGGAGTGAGTCTTGGGGAGCACATACATGGCCTCAGACACCTCTTGAGCATAGAGGGAGCCTTCATTTGAGAGAGATGGGGTCATGGGGCATGGAGCTGGGAGAAGGAGCTGGAGCCATTATGTGGGAAATGCCAGGAAAAAAAAGTGAAAGCAGCCCCGATGCCAGACAAAAGGGAAGGGAACCAGGAGTGTGTGTTTGTGGTCAGACTGGTTGTGAGTCAAAGGAAACTCCTCCGGGCACCTTTGGCAGCTCGGCTGAGAGAGCAGAGCACAGCCTTGGGTAGTCTGGATTGATGACAGCTACGGTGGAGACTGCTGTCAGACACATCCTGAAAAGACCTGATGGACCATGGGGCATTTGTCACTTGAGGGTTAAGCTTTTGGTTCCCTGACACCTGATGCAGAGCTCCTTGGGACCCAGTGTCCTTGACCCTTCTCGCCTGCCTCCCTGGCTGCAGCCTGGGAAGGCTGATGATCGTTGGGGACTGTGAGGGCAGAGGCTAATTAACTTCTGGGCTTAACTGTCACCCCTGTGCTTGCAGGTGGGCCTCGTGTACATGTTCAACCTCATCGTGGGCACAGGTGCGCTCACCATGCCCAAGGCCTTCGCCACTGCCGGGTGGCTTGTCAGCCTCGTCCTGCTGGTGTTCCTGGGCCTGATGAGGTAAGGAGCAGGAGGATGTCACCTGGGCCTGGGGGCGGAGCTGGAGAGCAGCTGCCAGGGCAGGATTCCTGGATGTCCCTTACTTAGCAGGAAGCCTCTTGGAATAGGGAGAAGGCTATCTACGTGGAGTGAGAGAGAGGAAGTGCAGGGGTCTCCCCGCACCTCCTGGGACGCAGCAGCTGAGCAACCCTGATGAGTGAAAGTCCAGAGGCCAGATTAGCTTGGGGATGTCTCAGGCAGTGCCACCTCTCTCTTCCCACAGCCTCCCTGTCCTTTGCTATACTTTGTCACTGTTACCATGAGTCTTCCTCGCTCTGTGAGAAAATACCACAGAGAGTGATAACAGACATCTCTTATGCATCAAGGTGATCCAGAAAATTGGTGTGGAATTTTGAACTTGCTTAAGACAGCCAAGTAAGTGATGAGTGTGCAGGTATACACCTGTGTGGTCAGCCAGGCCTTCGGGGCACCTGCTGCACGGGCCAGGTGTGTGGGAGCCCCACCTGGGGCTTCCAAATAGGTAGGGTGTACCTGAGGTGTGCTTGGAGACTCCATGTGCGGTCTGCAGTCGTTTCCCAAGAGGCTCAGCCTGCTAAGGGTTTTCAAGCTGGGCATGTCCAGCCTGTTTGATCAAGTAGGAGTCCACATAAAAGATCTGGGAATGAGTACCTGGAGAACTCCCCCTTCCCAAGGAGCATGTTCCTGAGAGGCCATACGCCATCTCAGCATAGCAAGAACCATTTTCTGGGTGGGGCTCCTGGGACAGAGACCCCTGCCCTCACAGGCCTGGCTATAGCTCACAGGGCGGACACTAGCAACCATGGTAAGTGATGACTGTGCAGAGGAACTGGGGGATGAATAATGTGGGGAAAAGGCAAAGCCCAGCCGGGGTGTGGGGTGACTGCACGTCTGAGTCCAGTCTGAGGGTCCCTGGAGGGCAGCACTGAAGCCCAGGTTTACTTTTTTTTGTGTGTGTGTGCCTGGGATTGAACTCAGGCCTTGTACTTGCCAGGGAGGTGCGTGTGCCACTGAGCTATCTCCCTGGCTGGAGCCTGCTTTGGAAGGAAGAGCAAGCAGGTACTGTGCAAAGGATGAAGCCGGCCTACGTAATTAATGCAAACTGAAACCCAGCGGGCTGAAAGGGATGGAGAAGGGGCCAGGATTTTCAGTTTCTTTATGCTTTTCTTCTGGGGAGTTTTGAGGTGAACCTTGGGGTACTGTTAGCCTGTCACGTACTTCAAGCCTTCTGTCAGGAGCTGTAGAAGTCTTCGTCCTAATGTGACTCTGTCCCCTTCCAAGGACCTTCAGCACAGACAGCTGTCTGAAGGAGAAGTGATTACCTGGGGCCACGTAGGGCTTCCGTGCCCCCTCTTTGCTAAACCCATTTACGTTTAAGCATGATCAATGAGTTGGCTTTGTACAGCCGTGGGAAGTCTCTTTATATCTCAAGATTGATTTTAGTTTAATTTTCAAACTGAAGAGAAAGTCCAAAGCCCTTAAAATGGTCAGTTAGGCAAGATAATGAGAAACTTTTCCCAGAGGTGCTGAGGTCGCCAGCTGAGGTCGCCCTCGCTCCCCCTCTGTCCCTCACCCAGGTACTGGGATCTGGGTGCAGCTGCTTTAGAGCCCAATAGCTCCTCTGCGACCTGCCACTGGCCTGCAAGGCTGAGTGGTCACTACCCCATAGTCAGCCCCTGAGCGCACAGGCAGAGCCATACCAGTCCTGGGATAGAGCAAGGAGTGTCCCCCTGAGGTGTTGGATAGCAGGGATGGATTCACACCTTGGTTTGTATCCACCAGAAGCAGCGACAGGGGCCTCCTGTTAACGAGAGCACCAATGTGCTCCGGTGTTCCCCCAGGCTCTGAGTTTCTTTAAGTGGAAAAGACAATTTCTCTGCTCTAGTTTGACTTCTCAGTGCCTATGTGGTGCTTCCTCCTAGTCCCCCTTTAGACTCAGGTCATAGTAATTGTCTTAGTTACTCTTCTCTCGTTACTGGGACAAATACCCGACACCCAAAGTAAAGGAAGGAAAGGTTTATTTAGCTCACAGTCACTGGAGGGTTCAGTCCGTATTCCGCTGGGCCCAACGCAGAGCTGCACAGGGCAGAGAGCAACCTTTCATGGCAGGTGGCAAAGAGCAAGAGCACACAAAAGAAGTAGCGCCAGCTCAAGCAGCTAGCTTCTCTTCCCTTCTTACATTGAAATGCAAATTACCTGCCCGGGGCAGGTGCAGCATCCACTCCCAAAGCAGTCAATCACAAACTCCTGAAGCCACCCCAAGACTGCGTGAGGCTTTGGGGGAACAACTATACACAAACCATAACAGTAATGAAAATTTAATTAATTAATTTATGTAGTCTTTTTGGAGACAGGTTCTCACTGCAGTTAGGCTGGCCTTGAGCTCACCATGTAACCCAGGCTGGCCTCAAACTCACAGTGATCCTCCTGCCTCAGCCTCCAGAGTGCTGGGCTTAAAGGTGTGTACCACTGCACTTGACTGTGGAAGGTTATTATGTTAGCCAGATGGTCCCAAACGTAAAAGAATGTATTCCAATGCCATCTTCAGTGATCTGCTTGCGCTAATGTATGTAATTGGGCGCTAACTGCTCAACTGTGGCCTTGCAAGGAGAGGGGAGCCTGTCTGCTGTCCCTCCAGCTCTGAATCCTCCTCCCCTGCAACTCTGATGTACTGTCTGCCCCAGCAGACCTCCTCCAGGGGTGTAGTGCCACCGTGCCCCCTCCCCATCACCTCTGCCTCGGCTTCTTCCATCCTGAGGGGCATTGAAAATGCTATTCAAGCAAGCACACACATGCATACGGTGTGCACCTGCGCACTTTTTACCAGGAAAGCCCTCTCAGAGAGCCCACTGTGGGGCTGCTGGTTGTGTCCCTGTGTGCCTCCTGCATCTTCCTCCCTGTTGCTAACACATGGTTCCCCCTCCCCGCCCCCAGCTTCATGACGACGACCTTTGTGGTGGAGGCCATGGCCGCAGCCAACGCTCAGCTCCGCTGGAAGAGAATGGAGAGCCACAAGGTGTGTGTCACCCTTGTCCCCCACCTGTCCTCAGCTGTGTGCCCAGGGGGCAGTAGCAGCCTGCTCTTCTCCGGGTGCAGGAGCCTGGTCCCAAGCCCCAGAGCTGCAGCTTAATAGCTACAGGAAGGCAAGAGAGGAGCGTCCACTGTCGCAGCATTGCAACATCGGTCCCTCACAGCCTTGCCTTGAGCTAGCGCAGTTGTCCTGAGCCTCTGTCCCCAAGAACTGTGCATGGTCTGTCTGTGCCTTCTCATTGACAGTGAGGACATGTGCCAGTTCCTAGGCAGATACCTTCTAGAGAGGCAGAACGAAGGAAGTATGTGCACCAGTGCCTGGGGCCCCTGCGGGCTCTGCGCTCACCCCTCTGCCCTGTCTTTCCTCTTCTGCCTTGCCCACTCCTCCTCATCCTGCCAGGAGGAGGACAGCGACGACTCCTCCACAGCCTCAGACAGCGATGTGCTTACTCAGGAGAGCTACGAGCGGGCGGAGAAACGGCCCATCCTGTCTGTGCGTAAGTCTGGGGATTTGGGGTGTGCCCCATGCTCCTCTGCTTCGTGGGGCTCAGTCTCTTTGTGGGGAGGGCCTGGGAAGTCTCCCCCGAGACATGCCCTTCTATTTCCTGCCCATGCCTTGGTTCCTAGGAAGGCTTCAGGGTAGAGCAAGCAGAGCACAGACTGCCTTGCGCCCACTGGAAGGAAGCTTGAGTGACCAGGGCTGCCAGCTCCGACCCCGTACATGCAGACCCCTGCCCACTGTCTCACGCTTTTCCCACCTGGCCAGAGCTAAGAGTCCTTTTTCTCCCTCTTACCCCATGAGGAGCATCCCTAAATTCTTGTAAAAATACAATGTGGTTCAGCAGTAGGACGCTTGGCTGTCGTACACAAAGCCTTGGTTCCATCCAGTAGTGGCAGGGAAAAGCGACAGAGGCTTCAAGCAGGAGACATTAGGAAAAGTTTGCTCAGGAGTTTGAGATGCTTGGGGATTCCTTATTCCGGATGCTTCACTGAGCTCAGCAACCCCTCTTGGCTATCTTGCAATGAAGAACTGCCACCATGCCTTGTTCTTTTGGCCCCACAGAGAGACGTGCACCGCCCAACCTGTTTGAAATCACAGATCGGGTGGAAATGGGACAGATGGCCTCCATGTTCTTCAATAAAGGTAATAGCCCCTGTGGGTAGGGAGTGGATAAAGTCCTGGGTCTGAAGATTCCATTTCAACTAGGGATAGCATAGGCCACCAGGAAGAACACATTGTGCCCTGGCTCCAAGGCCCCTGAGAGGCCACCTTGCTGGGAGGCCTGAACTGCTTCTTCCGGTTTGCTTGAATTCCTCCCTGTCAAAGAAGTGGCTCTGCTGGTCGAGGTCAAGAATCCTCAGCAGCTTTCCAACAAAGATGGTTGATGGAGGTCACCTGGTGTTTTGTTGTTCTTGTTTGTTCTAATGGGTTGGGTTAGGTTTGGTTCTTTGGGACAGGGTCTCACTTGAACTCACTATGTGTCCTAGGCTGGCCTCAAACCTACAGCAATCCTCCTGCCTCAGCCTCCCAAGTGCTGGGATTAGGAGGGTGCTACCGTGTTTGACGCTCCATAGTTACTTCAGATTTATAGCCTGTTTTGTCTGGGACAAACATCCTCTGCAGCAAGCTTGCCTGGGCCTGTCCTCCAGGTGGCCAGCAGAGGGCGCTCGGAGCCCATGCCCAGGTTGCCCTGTAGCAAGGAGGTGCTGTGCTTCTTTCGCAGCTGCCTGTTCCTGGGGGGTGGGGAGGGGGTCTTTGGCTACAGCCTGTAGGGATCCACCAGCTCCTAACGTTTATCTCTGTGGCAAATCTGGAGTTTTTAGAAAAAGAGCTATTGGAAGAGTTTCTTTTTTAGGTCCCAAACCTGTGTTTCCACTGACATGAGAACTAGGCCCTCTCCTTGCAGCTGTCTTGGAAGATGTTCTTTCTGTCAAAGCCCCTGGAGTGGGGCATCACCATCTGTTCTATCTCGTCTTGAGTGTGACTGCACTGAACTTAGAGCAAAGGTGACAAAGCAGGGTCTTTTCTGCCGCTCTTAGGGACACTAGGCCCTCGGTTTGTGGCTGGCCGTGCTGCCTGACAGGCTGTTCCGGAGGCAGGGACTCTCAGCACACATATGCCAAGGCCTGGCTCCACCCTCACTCCCGGACAGGCCTCCAGAGGGTTCCCAGCATTCCTCCCTGGGCTCCCAGTGCCCAGCCCACCTCTGTGCTTTTCCTTTGTCCCATCTCCATCCCACCCAACCTCACCAGACTGAGACAGCACAACCGCTTCCCCCTGGCAGCTTCACAGTCCTCTTCCAAAAGAAAGCTTTCAAAGCAGAGTGCACATCAGAGGGAGAGTGTGTATTTTTCTGAGCCTCCTTTCTTATTTTTTTATGTTCTGCATCTGCTCCCATTTCTGTAAGAGTTCTAGGAATGAGAGGTTCATTTTGTCATCGTCCCCCACCCCCAGAGGCTGACACTGTATTCACCTAAGTCTCACAGAAAGCAGCTTGCTTGTGCGGAGCAGGCCAGGCATGGAGGAACCTTCTTGCCGTCTCCCACAGTGTTTCTCAAGCTCAACACAGTGGATAGTGTCCTGGGTGTTGTGGGATGTTCGGCATTGTCCCTGGTGTTGGGTGCCCAGAGTACCTCCTAGTCATGACAATGAGTACTGTCTCTGGGTAGATGTCCCCAGTGAGCTCTGGGGTCAGAATCACTCCTACTCTGCTCTGTTCATAACTCAGACTGTTCGGTTATCACCCTCACCTTTGGCAGGGCTGCCACCCTCCCTGGCATTCCCTCAGAGTCTCTACTCATTTCTTACAATTAGAAACGCCAGGCCTTGTTGCTGATGTCCTCTGACGAAGCCCATTGATCCTCCCACTTTGTAACTAGTAATGAAATTTTATTGATCAGGGAGGGCTGATGGCACTTTATAAACAGCCAGAATGCTGTCAACACGGAGCTGCTGGCAGGTGGCAGGAAAGGAAGGAGTGCGGAGGGGACAGTGCCTCCTTGCCGAGAACATCGATGTCAGAGTAGAAGGGCAAGCTGATGTGGGCTGCACGTGTGTGTGACAGGCAGCCCCAGGGGTCACTGAATGCGGAAGTCGAGGCCAGCTCTGACGTGTTGGGGTAGGGCATGCCAACTAATGTGTTCAAAAAGCAGAGGCCCATAAGAATCTGTAGCCCAGTGTGGTGTGGGCCTGTATCCCAGCCCTCTAGGAGGCTGAGGCAGAATTCTACACTGGGGCATTTGAGTCCAACCTGAGCAGCTTAGCCATTTAGTAAGGCCCTGTCTCCAGAGGGTGCGGTGGGCAGAGGTAGCTCGGTGCAAAGGCCCTAGGTTCAATCCCCAGTACCATGCCAGCCCATGTGTGTTTTGCTGTTGTTTTTCATCTGAATTTGTAGGAGCAGAGCTCACCTTATGTGGCCAAGGAATAACATGTCCTAGGCTTTTCTCTGGGGACCCTGCAGGTTCTTTTGAGCCACCAGGATTAGAAAGGAACTGTCACTTTTTTTTTTTTTTTTTTTTTTTCTGTTCTTAGAGAAAGCCAGCAGCTTGACACTGGTGACATCAAAGTCTTGAGCTGATTGCTCAGACTAGTTGTCTGAGGCTGAGTTTTAGATAGGTAGTCTAACCCGTATGTTGTAGAGCCCTGACAGCTTTCTCCAGGGCTTCTGCCCCTGATCTTTATGGCTGAAATTATATGAGGCAGGTAACATGGGTGGAATTCTTGTTGTCACACAAGGTAGGAGATGTCTGGGACTTGCCAGGATTGAGAAACGAGTCTGATGAAATTAGGACGAGGGCACTCCATCCCCAGGCCCTGGTTCAGGCTCCTGCCGTGAGGGGGGCACAGTTTGCAGTGCAGAGGGCGAGCCAATGTCATGCTCCTTCCAGAGTCAGCCCTCTCTACACCTTGCTGGAAGGAAAGGGAGCCTGCGGGGAGCACTGCCCCCCTCCAGTTCCTCAGACCTCGCTGGGCCACCCAGTGTTGGGTGATTAATCAGATTCACAGAGAAGCACCAAGTCTTTGGAAACAAAGTGCTTTTTGTGCTGTCAATTTTCACTTTGGAGAACTGGACCATTTCCCATCACTCTTCTGCTTTGAATCTTCAGTAGTGACCTCTTGTCCTAGAGCTGGGTGTCAGCTGCAGAGAAGTCCCTGGCCCCAGTGCCCTAGGGCATTCATTGTGGCCTGTCCCAGTATGAAGGACCCTTGGGCCATCGGGTCCTCCGGGCCAGCCATCCCTCACGTTCTCCTTGGACTGGTCCAGATCCAGAATCTCTAGCATCTGTGGGCCTCCCAGAGCCCTCTCAGGGCAGCATGTCTCCTGCTAGTGTCACAGTGTAGCCAGGCAGATCAAGAAACAGAAGTGGAGGTCATGTCTCCACTCTTTTATGGAAATAAGCAGCTTGGGAGCTGGAAGCTACAGAAGAGTAGACATTTAGTTGTCAGAAAGAAGCGCTACCTGCTCTTCCTGGCTCCCTGACTAGTGGCTTTGTTGCTTTCAGTGGGGGTCAACTTGTTCTATTTCTGCATCATCATTTACCTGTACGGTGACCTGGCCATCTATGCGGCGGCCGTGCCCTTGTCCCTCATGCAGGTGACCTGGTGAGTACCCTTTCCAGTCCCCAGGCTGACCGTAGCCCATTGCGTCTCCCCAGCCAGCAGGGGCAGTGGCCATCAGAGAAGCATCATGCCAAGTGCATACGTGGCACTTGATGAGAGTAGGGTAGACCCCCAAGGCCCTTCACCACGGTGCCACTGCCAGCACTGCCCTCTGTCCCTGGGAGACACGGTGCACTGCTGTCCCCTCCTTGGCCTGGCGGGAAGATGGCTCAGATTCCCCTGAGGGCCCAAGTCACTAGGAGTAAGTGGGACACATCCTAAAAGATGGTTTATGTAAAGTCAGATTGTGGAGGGGGCTAGGGAGGGCACCCTGAGACTGGGCCTGGTACTATTCTTTCAGCAGTGCCTCCAGCAACGACTCCTGTGGCGTGGAGGCAGACACCAAGTACAATGACACGGACCTGTGCTGGGGCCCCCTGCGCCGAGTGGATGCCTACCACATCTATCTGGTGAGCGTCCCCACCCATCCTGAGGAGTTGGGGCCATCCTGCGTGTAGAGGGCTCTGGACCACCCTTGCTTTGGGGGAGAATGCAGGGAGGCAGCACTTACACCTCTCAGTACTGTGGCTGAATCCTAGGGTCTTGGCTCTAGCAGGAAATGGATCGTGTCACTAAGACCCTAGCCCCAGAGTGTCCTGAGGACCAGGCCTCAAGTTAGACATGGTTTGGGGCTGGCATCCAGCGTCTTGCCAGCTCCTGGGCCATGGACCTAGCCCAGGGCTTGAGGGATGCTCTTTGTAAAGCACTTTGACATCCCAGATCTCATGCTCCAGACGTACCGTGTTCTGATCTTACTCTGTGCCGACCCCGAGCGCTCGGGCAGCAGCGGGGTCTCCTGACCAGGTGTGCAGGACTGATCCTACTTACAGTTGACCCTGACCACAGTCAGGCTCTGCAGACAGGGAAGGATCAGCCCAGCCATCTTCCTGTCTGCCTACCTCCCTGTGGACAGGTGAAGAAGATGAATCTCTAGGCTCGTTCTTGATTGCTTTGGGCCATTGTGCGGCGGGGGTGGTGCGAGTCGGGCTTATAATAAGACACGGGCCAGAGGCAGCTATTTATCTCTGCCTGCTTCGTGGGTGGGGCTCACAAATGTTTCCCTACAGCTTTTGCAGTATCTATTAATACGTTCTGCCTCTCTCAGTTCTCCTCAGCCCTGGCACAGATACAGGTGTGCTGGGTGACACATAGTTTGACATGTGGCCACTTAGCTGATTTGAAGGGCAGGTGGGGGCCAGGAGAGGGCCCGGACTTTCAGGTAGTGGCCTCCTGACTCGGTCATCCCTGTCCTAGCAGAGATTTCAGCAGGCCTTGCCAGCTGTGTCTTTCAGGTCCAGCCTTGTTATCCCAGCAACCGCTGAATGGTTTCTTTGTGCCTCCCCACCCTTGCTCATAGACCTGTGAAGGAGCATGTAGCCTAGCCCATGGAGAGATGTCATGTCTGCTTTTTAGGAGTGGTTGGTCAGTGTTTCCTTCCTGCACACTGGACCCCAGCTAAGAATTTGTCTTGTACTAGAATTAGTCTCTGATCCTCTGTGGCAGGTCTGGTGGGAATGAGGTGGCAGGTTGGGTTGTCTGGTACCCTGCTCCACCTCCCCAGCTTTGACGGTGGTGCAGGACCCAGCATAGCAGCCAGGAGGAGGGAGGGACTGAAGTGTTGCCAATGTCTTAGGGTTTCAATGCACTGTAATTGATGAAATTAGCCAAGGTGTTCGTAAGTGGAAGGCCCTAGTGGATCCCTCCTCCCACTCCACCGTGGACAGGGGAGGAGATGGAGAGAGGAGTCTGGGAGGCTCCAGAGAGGAGCAACAGCAGCTGAGCCACTCCAGGGTCTTTGCTGGGGAAAAGACTCGCTGGAGTCTGCAGACCCTGCCTGACATACTCCCCCTCCTGCCCGAAGAACGGAGACCAAGCATTGGGAGTATTGGCTGCTGTCGTTCGCTTGGTAAATTATTCAGGAGCGTTATTATTGCCTTGTTAAATTGTGCCTTCACTTATTCCTATAAACCTTCCTCGTGATGGAAGCCTCCCTCCCCTAGTCTCAATAATTCTGACTGAACAGGAGGAAGCCCTCAGGAAGGCAGACGGGCATTAATTACTGCCTTCATCTCCCAGATATTGCATGTATAACTCATAGAGTTAATTGTCCTGGTGCCTGCGAGCACTCTAGACCTGGGGTGATCTGGGAGCTGCAGAAAAGGATCAAGAAGACTGGCAGCCCCTCTGGGGGCTGCTCTCTGACCCATCCTCCCCTCAACCCATTGCCACCCTCACCCCTCTTCACTGTGGGGCTTCTGTCTGCCTGGGGCCTTTGGCCTGGCCTGTTCTCTTCTTCCTGTCCTGAGGGACTCAAGGCAGGTGAGCATCATTTCGGAAGTCACTTTACCATTCTCTCTGTGACTTCCAGGGTCTGCAGTCTTGCAGAACAGCAGAGCCTGCAGACCCTAAATGCTGATGCTTGTGTCTCTCTGAAGCCCCCCTCCTCTAGTGACTTGGAGGGCCATGGTGGGGGTTCCCTTCCTCAGCCCTCTTGCAGGTGAAATGGTGTCTTCCTCTCCCCAGCCCAGGGAGCTGGATTCCAGCAGTCGCCCTCTTCAGATGCCAGAAGGGCCAGCCTTTCTCCTTGTCCCAGGACATTCAGGCTCAGATCACCCATCCCTTGTAGGGACTCCACAGTGAGGCCCCCCCACCCCCTGCTGTTTCTGCTTTTGCCGGCAGCAGGGCTCTACCCAAACAGTCCTCAAGGCAGGGCACGGGTGGGTGGGTTTAAGCACGTTGCCACTCTGTGCACACATCATCGCTTGGGCTCAGGTAGATGATGCCCCTGCCCGGCCTGCATTTTTAGAAGGGCCTAGTAATAACCACATCTTCATTGCTATTCTGGGACAGTATATTCTGTGGAATAAAGATACAGGCTTTTATATTGTGGCTTAATTTTCAGAAAGTCCTCTGGAAACCATCTCTTCTGTTTCTTCCCAGGAAAGCTCCTGAGAAGCACAGACAGAATAAGAATATCTGAGATATTAACTATCTCCGAGGCCAGCCTGTGTGTAGCATCATGATTACGCCTAAGAAAGGAGCTTTCTCCACTGGCAGCTACCAGTTGCCTCCCAAAGCCCTTGACCTTAACAAATGGAAAATTCCTCCTCCTCTCCTCACATCCTTGACCCCTGTCTGTATCCTGTGATTCCCAGTGCAGCTGACATGAGTCAGTTCCTCCTTCCTGTGGTGGCCACAGAGCAGGGTGCTGTGAGGCGGAGGCTTCCCTGAATCACTTGCTGCTTCGCGTGGCTCCCAGGTGCCCCCACACACTGCACAACTGGGGCCAGCGCGGCTGGGCCTTGCCAGTGGGCCCCATGAGGGTTCTCAGGCTCTGCTTTCAGCTGACCCTGATTCTTGAGCTCCCAGCCCCACTCCCAGCTCTTTTGAAGAGTGGAATGGGAAAATGTCGGGGGCCCCAGCTCTTTCAAATGGGTAACATTGCCTCCAGGCTTCACAGCATCTTGGGACTCTTTCCACAAGGCTTCTGGCTTTGCTAGACACAGAGTCAGAATTTGGCATTTCATTCTTCCCGTGCTATAGAGCAAAGAAGCCAGGGACCGCTGGTGCGGGAGGCAGGGGGTGGGTGCTGCGCTGCTCTCCTGGGGTCAGGGGCTACCCAGGTCTCTCACTGCCCTTCTGCATTCCTGTAGCACCTCCCAGCCCATCATTCCATCCCTCCTCCTGCAGGGTGTTAGGGGGAAACCCCCAGGGGTCATGGGGACTCCCAAGTGCTGAAAGCTTTTCACTATTTGGAGAAGAGGGCAGCATCTGCCACTTATAGGCGACAGGTGCTGCCAGGTCACAGGCAGCCCAGCAGGTATCACCACAACAGCACAGAGCGCAGATGGTGGCACTAAGCTTGTGCTGGCTGGAGACCCGGCCACAAACTGACCATGTTGAGCAGGGGGCCTCAGAACAGGACAGGTCTTGCTATTTGCTACCCTGCCTTAACGCAGGAGTTGGAGCACAGGTGACTCTAAAGAGAGATGCAGCCTGCAAGGGCCTGCAGGTGTGCTGCCACTCCCCAGACTGCCTTCATGGGCACCCGTTAAGAAGCGGGTGGGGGGGCTGCCTATTAAGTGCCTGCTGAAACAAAGCAGGCTCAGGATGCTGTGGTTCGATCCCCTCATCCTCAAGCCAAACCAGACCTGCCCTGAAGGCATCCTGAGCGGCCCCCCAACACACACAAAAAGGTGGGAGGCTGTCGGAAGTTACACCTGCCACGTTTCCTAGCTGTAGATTGCCTGCGAGTCAGCTCAGGTCAGACACGAAGCAGCCTTGCAGGCTTCACCAAGCACTCTGTGGTCTAAAAACCTTGTTTCCTCATTTCCCCTTGGCTCCAGTTCACACTGCCACACTGGCCTTGGTTCTTTCCGCACGCGGCCCCCTTTGTGATGAAATGGCTTCTAAAGGGAAGGACCCCCGTGGTGAGGGGCACAGAGGGAGCAGCACACCCCAGAGCCACAATTATTCAAGACCCACACATGCCTCCCCTGAATCTGTCACAAGGCCACTTGGCACTGGTCACTTGCTCGTTTCCCGTGATTCAGGGCTTCCGGCCACGCGGTACAGCATGTGGCATCAGCTCGTTTTTGGTGGGCAGAACTGAGACTAGGAAGTGATGACCTCCCACAGTCCCTGAGTCAAGGCAGGAGCCCAGCTCTATGGGCTCAGCACAACCTTCCTGCCTTGAGAAGAGACTTGCTCTGCTCGCCCAACAGAGGCTTGCAGGGTGGCCCTGGCTGCGGCGCAGCCCTGTCAGCCCTGACCTTTGCAGGAGTTGAGGTGACATCACACAGATGTGGTGTCAGTGAGTGACCTGTATTTGTGGACATTCTGTCCTCCTTCTTCGACACGTCTTTCTGTTGCTCCTTGCTCCCAGTAGACAGGTGGCCATTGCCTCTTGCTCTGCAAAGGTTGGAATTGAGTGTTCTTCCCAAGGACATCGCCTTCCCCTGCCTTGGTCTCTGCACTTTCAGCATTGGGCATTGGGCCCTCGGGCTGTGGCATCTGCTAATAAGTGGGTCACCGCTGCCATCACTTGAATATTCGTACCACATCTGGGGCAGGAGGCAGCCTAGAGGCCTTCAGGACCAGTGAGGAGGGAAAATTAACATGAAGCAACGTGTCTCAGGAGCAGCAGTGACCTCTCGGGACTCGGGCGAGTGCAGGGCCGTATGGTGCACATAGCTTGTTTGCTCTCGCGTTGGTGCCTCAGAGCACAACTCCAGGAGAATCGGGTGACCGCTGCCCTGGATTTGTGCAAGGTCACAACCTGGGTGGAAGTGGGGCGTGGCAGGGTAGGACAGGGGGCCCTCAGGAGGACTCAACAAACAAGCTGTCTATGGAGGAATCAGGCTGGGGGCTGTCCTGCTGGAAACTGGGTGCCTGGGATGGGCAGGTGTTA